TTGCTCTGTTATATAAATTTAATTAGCAATTTTAATTATTTCATAGTTTAGTAAACTTACCAGGGATCTTGTCAAATGTAAATTCTTTTAAATTGCTCATTAAGTGGGTAATTGTTTCCGATTGAATGGTATGTATGTTATTTTCACCAAGTTTTAAAACTTTAAGATTTTTTAGATGAGTAGCTAGTTCGTGCGAAAATTTATCTAGTTTATTATGTCGAGCATCCAGGTACCATAAGTCAGGTGCATGCAACTTTAATAAAACCTCCAAGTTTTCAATGTTATTGCGTGTGATAGTTAGCATGCACAGTTTATTATATTCAACTAGAGCATTATTAGTAATTTTGTTTAGATTATTATTTGAAAAATATGCTGATTTAATATTTGTGCCTGGTATCATGGCAAATGTGTCGCTGATAATATTGAGTGCACCATGTTCATAGCGTACGTTTTGGAGTTTGGTAAATTTATTAAATTGTGCAAGTGGAAATAGATAATCATTTGTTATGCTATTAATTATAAGCTCACTGTTAATAAATGTCAAATGTTCCAGGTAATCTGCCACTATGCCATCAAATACCTTGATAGTTTTATATTCATCGCCCACTTTTTCATTAGTAAAAATACACTTTTCAAATAACAAGCTTAAAATTTTTAAGTCTTTAAACAATTCATCAGGCAACTTGTGAATAATAGCATTTTGTAGCACTAAAGTATTTATATTGTAATCAGTTATTTTGCTAAGTTGTTTATAATTAATCTCGGTGATTTTACTGGCCTCACATACTAGGCTAGCGGCTGTAGATATTTTATAACCATCTAGGTAAAGTAAATTAGTTTTTAAAATAAATAATAATTTTATTTAAGCTTACCTTCCGGTGCTGTATAACAAGTACAAAATTCTGGGCAATCAAATGGTATCTCAGGTGTAATTAGATTTGTAAAACATGACATTAAAAATAAACAGTAGCTTGGTGGAATATTTGCCAACATTTTGTAATAATACAATAAAATAATTCACAGTTATTTTAATAATAAACAATTCTTATAAAATATTACAACAATTTTTACTATTAATGATATTATTCATATGTTTTTTAGTACATTTATATAATAATAGTTGATAAGTGTTCCGGCTTATGGTTACTAAAGTATGTAGAAATATATGGGATTAGCGTTCAATGAATTGTCATTTAACTTATCATGTATGGTAAATGTAGTAACCAGGGTTAATGTTTAAATAATAATACAAGTAATTAAGTTTATTATACTTATATTTATATAATAACAAGATTTATAAGTGTGATACTTCTAGCCTGGTTACTTAATTATTTAGATTTATAACTATAAATACTCAATTGTCAGTGTATTAGGCGGTTATTGAGGGTGTTATACAAACAAACATAATATGGGGTGATAGTATGCTGATTAGTTAGCGGTGCTGCATGTATTACCTGTCATTGATTCCTAATGCCTTATCAATTAGGTGTCAATTGCCTGTCACTAACACTTCTATGAATCAAAATGTGTTTTATTTTGAGAGAAAATGTTTATAAAACTGAAATTCATTCACAGTATTGTTATTGTGTACGTGAGAGACTCAATGACTACATCGTAATTATATTATATTATTGTGTGTGTGTGTGTGTGTGTGTGTGTGTGTGAGTAATTGAAAATATATTTCTTGATGCTTAAATTTTTAATAAAATAATTTTAATAGTTAATTGTAATTTGAATAGAGAATTATATATAATACTATAATAAATATTTGATAATTATACTATAAAACTGTAATATTTTATTTTATATACAATAAATATATTTAAACAAAATACATTTATTATAATTGGATTGACATGAATGTAGCCTTATTTTACATTTTAAATCTAATTTTTTTAAAAAGTAATAATATATCATGTTATTTATATAGAGGTTTTCGAATGTAAACAATTTTGTATTTTAAACATTAAATTCATAGAATTGTAATGAAAATAAACAAATTAAAAAAACCAGGATAGGATCACTATTTATTTACAAACTATTTTATATTTTAATTATTTATAAATTCTATTAATTTATTGTGTGATAGTAGTTATCATAATAAAAGATTTATTCATAAAATATAGTTAATTAATAATTAAATAATGTGTGTGAGATAAAATATACCATTCAATATGACACCCTGGTTATATGAAGTTATGTAAATTCTTTGTATTATATCTGTATAAAGAAATAAAATATAAATAAATAATTTCACAAATTAGATACAGGATATAGTTGATATATAATACAGTAACTACACTATTAATATAATATTTATAAAACAATATTAAATAAAATTTGAGCATAAGACTTTTCCAAACAAATTAAGATTTATTATTTGTCACAACCAATTAAATAAATATAAATTTCCATAAACTACAATAAACAATACTTTAGATAAAATTACATTACGATAAGCATTAATGTACTGTACAAGTGGTTAATGTTTAAACGCCAGTTCAAAATATTTTGTGTGTGTGTCTCAAATAAAATCTAAATTTTAAAAACTTTATAATATGCTTAAATAATTATCAAATAACTACAATACAATTACTTTTGTCGCTAACTATGAAAAGTTATAACATTTTATTTGTTAAAATTTTGTTGACAATCGTTTTGTCGGTAACTGTACACAAATGCGACGACAAGTTAACCCAAATTCATATCAAACCCAAACTATTCACGGGTTTCACGAAACAAGTGGAGGGCCGAGAGGTTAATATATTTCTGGGTATACCATACGCCCGACCCCCTATAGGGGACCTCCGGTTCCGTAAACCTGTCCCAATCGTCGACTACCCGAACCCAGTGAACGCCACCTCGTGGGCCAACCCCTGTCAACAGTCGACAGCGTTATTGCAAACGGTATTCAAATGGGGTCTAAATAACGCCAACTTTAACGAGGATTGCCTGTACTTGAATATATGGGCCCCCGGTTCCGGTAGTACTACCGGTGCTACGAATGGAGGTCCTAATGGGGGCCTTAAACCCGTGTTAGTTTGGATACATGGAGGGGACTATTACGCCGGTGCCGCCAACTCGCAGCTAATTAATGGTGAGGTATTGTCGGCCAAAATGGACGTAATTGTCGTGACGTTTAACTACCGGTTCGGTTGGTTTGGGTTTCTCTACGCGGGAACGGACGACGCGCCCGGAAATGTCGGGCTCTGGGATCAGGCGTTGGCCCTAAAGTGGGTCAATGAAAATGTCTACTATTTTGGTGGTGACCCTAATAGGGTCACCATTGCCGGTAAGTGAACTAGGTCGCCCGTTTTATAATTAATTTTAATAATTATTTATATGTATGTTAATTGTGTAGCTAGTATATTTCTAAAATTTTAAAATACAATCGTAATTAATAGTTATGTTTAAAATTAATAATTAAAATAATGCCTAAAATAAGTTAATTTAATATTTTTAATAGTTAAACAAATTACCTATATAGGTTTTAATTTGTAGTTAATGTAATTATCAAAAACAAATCTGTCAGTGAAATAAGTTTTTATATTTTAAACATTTTTTTGAATTTTACTTTTTATATTTTTTTGGGATTTTGTATTTTTTGTAATGTTTGTGTTGAGCCCCCATTGACGTTGATAACCCGATTGTGTGTATTTTAAGTGAATTGAATAATTATAAGTTAATTATTATAGTCAACAGTTAAACGAAATGCAAATTATACATTAATAATATTAAGTGATATATACATACAAATATTTAGCATTTCATTTGAAATGAACGCACAATTCAATGGTAAGTCAATGGGATTAGCATTGACTGCAAAGCAATTCACTGACAGATTGTGAATTATTTTTGTCTCATTTTCATTACTCTTACTAATATTTTTATAGCTTTCATGTTACAGTTTTATTAAATCATATATTTTGAAAACTTACGTATTTTAAAGTACCATAATACTGTAAATTAATTTTCAAATATTTATTAAATATTAGAAACTACTGTAAATTAATAGACATTACTATGCTATGTAATCACAAGTAATTATAAATAATATTTATTATATATTTATCGTATATAATATTTCCAAATATATTTATACTGACACATTCTTATTAATTGTTGCCAACTTTATATTTAGTTTTACTTAAATAATATTATTTATTTAATAAAACCTATAATTAAATAGTATAATACAAATAATATTTAAATAAAATATTTATATATAAAACTAAAAAATTTCAATTTTATTGTTAAAAATAATGACCATTCTCATAAGGACCAATAACACCATGTTAAAATTACAATTAATTACAAAAATAAACAAATATTTTTATGTACAGGTGACAACTCGGGTAGCATATCGGTGAGCCTGCACCTACTGTCCCCCATCACGCGCAACCTCTACCGGAACGCCATAATGATATCCGGCGGACCCCTACGGGACGTATACCTGCATAAGGATAAGGCCCGAGATATGTGGTCAGCGGTGGCCGTCGGGCAGGGCTGCGGCGACGGGTTTCAGGCTAACGGGTCGGCCGACTGTTTGCGGGCCATTGCGGCCCAGAATCTGATTGAATCGACTTTCGATAAGCGCCACAAAACGGACGTCAATCTCATGAAGCCGTACGTCATATACGGCGATGAGTTTCTGCCTAAAAGTCCGGTCGAGATGTTAAAGTCCGGCGATTTCAAGAAAAATGTCAATTTATTGGTGGGAACTACAGGTTAGTGTGCTTTTTCCAGTGAAGTGTATAATAAGATTTTATAGGTTTCTGCGGACTGTAATTTAAAATATTAAAATGTTTATGAGAGTGTATGTAATTTTTTGTGCAAGTTAATTTGGGTTGTGGACTAAAACCAATTTATTTTTAATATTTTTAAAATGTCGATTATTAAATATGCAAAATAATTACTTTTATTTTTAAATTATTAAAGTGCTAAATTATTAAATAAATTTATACTAACCAAAAATTATTGTAATCAAATAAGTACGTTAAAGCGTGCAAAAATGTAACTTGTTAAAAGTTCAAAAATGTTATACAAGTTTTAAATATGATACTTTGTGAAACTGTAACAATTTTGTCCCACATTTTTATAATTTATTATTCATACAATAATGATTTAACTGGGTGCACTATGACATCAAATTGTTATTACTTTTTATGTTAATTTATATAATTTTGTTATACCTGTCCAGTGGACGAGGGCTCCAACGTACTGACCGCTACCGTCGACTCCCAGAAGTACTCCCAACACAACCCCCAAAATCTGTCCAAATCGGAGGCCCGGCTAGAGTTGGCTAACATTTTCCGTCGATTTCTACCCCACCTATCGGTCAACGCGGAGGACATATACCGTCTGTACGTCAGTCACGTGCCGGAGACCGACTACCCGGCCATACGTCGTGCGATAGGCCGGGCGATAGGGGACTATCTCAGCACATGCCCGACCCTGTTGTTTGCCAACGGGGTCAGTGGACAGGGAGATGTGAACACGACTCGCGTGTTTCAGTACGTATGGTCTGTCAAGTATGACAGCCAGGGCTGGCACGGGTCGGACCATGGGTTGGACATAGGGTTCATATTTGGCGCCCCTTTTAGGGACACTTATGTGTCCAACGCTAGTGATAGTCAACTGTTGAACGAACGGCGCGTATCGCTCAGCGCTATGGAAACGGTGGCCAACTTTGCGAGATATGGGTGCGTATGAGCTAGATCAGTTTTGTACATTTTAATAATTCGTGATAAGCAAGCAAACTGTATATTAAAAAAATTCAATTCTATAATTAAAAAATTAATAGGTATTTTAAAATTTGGATCACTAGGGATAATGTTTAAATTTTTGAACAATACCAAATAATAATTTTAATTAATTAGCAAGTATACATAAACTATTTAATCATAAAATCTAATGATCAAGCTCATAATTGTTATCGTTATATAATATTTAATGTATATATTGTTTGATGGGCAGCAATCCGGGCAAACAGGAGGGCATTGAATGGCAGCCATATTACGCGACTAAAAATAAAGACATTATAAACCCGTACTTCGAGTTCACGCGCCGTTACTTCAGTGACAGTCCGTTTGGTGTGGGATTCAAATACGAGTGCAACCACTTCTGGCATAAATATGTGCTGGCTAACTGATTTATATTTAACTAGTTGCTTAAAACAATATTAGTTAAGTAACTAGTTACACAAATTTCATCGAATTATAAACTATATAACAATTAAAAATTTTGAATCTAGTTTATATTTCTATATGATATAAATATATAAATAACTAATATTTATCAGAGTGAATATATAAAACAGAATTAATATAATGAATATATTTGTTTAAGTGCATAAATTATCGTTTGTTTATAATATTATGTAATATTTTAAATTATTAATTATAAATATAAATAGATTTATATAGAATACTTAAAATAAGACCTTGATTTACTAATTAAGATATAAAATTATTCACATGCTGTTTTTAAACATAAATTTTGGTTTTTTTTAAAACAAAATATATTTTGTATTATCTTACAATATACTGTAATATAGAAATTACTCTCCAATCCTCTATATTACCGGTGAGTAGGGAGTTGTACTAATTTTATTAGAATTATTAAATAATTTACACGATTTAAAGAATAATTGCTTTATTGGACACACATTACA